GAGAGAGAGAGAGAGAGAGAGAGAGAGAGAGAGAGAGAGAAACAGACAGACAGACATTACTTGCCAGATACAATATATACCCCAACTTCATGTTGCTGACACCCATCTCCTCCAATCACACCCTACCAGTCTTCAGTTATCACTCAGTTAATACCATCTGAGGATTAATTCACTGGTTGGATTAAGACTCTCAAACCCAATCATTACTTATCTGAACATTTTTGTATTGGCTCATACTGAACTTTTGGGGGACACCTCACATCCAAATCACAACATTTCAATCTTTGACCCCCACAGCTCAGACAGTCTCACACGGCAAAATATATTTGGTCCATTTCCAAGAGTCCCCATGGTCTCAGCAGTTCCAAGACTGCTCAAGGTCAATTCTAAAGTCTTATCTGAGGTGCAAAGCAATCTCACACTGTGAGCTCATGTAAAATTAAAAAAAAATTTACCAAGTATCCAGTATATAAAGGTATATAGTAAACATTTCCCTTCACAAAATTAGGGGCATAGAAAGAAGGGATAGAACCAAAACAACATCAAAATCCAGCTGGGCAAACAAGTCCTGTAGTTCTGTGCCCAGCATCTGGATCAAGTGGAATTATGTCCTCTCAAAAGGGCTTGTGTATCTCCACCCCTATGGCCTTGATGGTTGCAGTCCAAGTGGCCTTTCTGTTGGCTTATTTCTCCTCAATTCCTGTAGCTTTCCCAAGATAATGTCCCACATTGCTGGCATTTCTTAATCCTGTGTGGAGAGCAGTGACAGAGAATGGGAGAGCAGTGTCGGAGATTGGGGTCTCTGATTGCCTTATGGTTGTTACAAGAATGTAACTTCTTGGTGCCTGGGAAAGCTTCTGTGAAAAGATGCAGGATGCCTAGCTGCTGTGGTAATGCCCTGCATGAGGAGGCTCTATGCTAGAGTCTTATGAGCCTCGACCTTGATCTCAGGCACATAGCTCCTGGGAATAGAGGAATTCTCTTGCTTGACAACTACAGTGTTTCACCAAGCTCAGTTGCTCCTGAACCTGCCTACATAACAGTAACTTTAAACAATGGACTTTCTTGAGAGCTACATAAAGCTCTTAACATTGCACATTGCAACTGTAGAATGTAACTGCAGAATAAGTTTCATAATCCTGCTACCTCTGTAACTTTCATGAATACAAAGAACAATTCTTGCATGATCTTTAATCTGATAATGAGACATATATAAATAAATATTGCTGGCATAATTTTTTAGATCTGCTTCTCCATCAGATACTCCACCCAGCTATATCTTTACAATCCGCATCTGTGAGTCTTTATTTTTCTTATCCCCCTTCACCTCTCACTAGAACCTGCTAGACTGACCATTTTGGGGATCTCCATTGAAGCTTTGGCTTTCTCCTCACATCTCCATGATTTGCCCTCTCAGAGGCTTCCTGCAAGGAC